ACGGGCAGGGAAGGAGACAATTGTGTAACTGAGAATAGCTCAGAAAATTAGAACTACTTAATGTTATTTACTTGTGGTACACTGGGGCTTTATGTTAGCTTTGTTGTGGTCCTGAAAAAATTAAACGTCTAACTGACCATACACCAGTGAACATCTTATTTGTGCTGTTTCATCCTAAAAGGTAACATTGTGTTTTCCTACCTTTAACATCAGATTTGTGAGACTTTTGCAAAAAGTTTGTCTTGAAGTTATATCTCAAGCTTAATGGGCACAAACCCGGTTTTATTTCTTGAGAAATGAGTGAAGCAAAATACAGACTTGGGGTCAGCGGGCTTTGCGAAGTTTTTCTGTAGCTTTCTAGATACCATATATTAAATTTTTATGTTGGCATTTTTAATGCACACTAAATATTAGATGGCTGATTCCACTATTATTTTTATTGTCTTCTTAGTATGACAAAGTTTAAGTAATCTAAGACAGGTTTTCAAAGTTAATATACCAGGATTTCAGAAAAAAATACAAAGGTTCAGAGTGCCAGAAGATAGAATTCCAGGTCTGACTGTCTTTGTGCAGACAATAACATCCAGTTCCCATGTGTTTGTAACTCATGGAGAAGGGCAGACAGGGAAGGTGTTGGTGTTTCTTCCAAATGCTCTCTCAAGATGTAGATTTGTACGAGGCTTGCTTTTCTGGGGTACTTGAGTTAGGAAGTGAAGGTATTGTAGGGAGGCTCCTGTAATTCAGTATGAAGAAACAGTTATCCAGTGTTCACTATTCTTTGTATGAGGGAATTTATAATATGAAAATTGAATGTTTAGTGAAATTACTCATTCTTATCGTACTCTTAGAGTTAGCATGGAGTAACAGGTGTGCTGTAAATTACCATCCTAGCTTACTCTGACATGGCTTCCCAGTGTAGACAAACCCTTAACTGATATCTAGGGGAATCCATAGAGAGTTAGCATTTGATGTACTGTAAATTCCTATTCTAATTCAGGACACCAAAGTGTACCCTGACAAGTACTGGGCTCTGTGTTAATGAATGAAGCACATCTTCAGCATCATTGTTAGTGCATCTGCTGCTGCTTGCTTATTAGACAGTTTGAATCTGTGACTGTGACATTAGTTTCTACTTAGATAAAAAGTATCAAATAGGATCTTAGAAAGCTAAAAAATAAAAGGGCTTCATTGGAACAGCATGAACTGCATTCTAGTTAAAGACAGGTAGAGAGAGGTATCAAAAACAGTTCAGCTTTATGTTATCTTAGTTGAAAAGCATTGACAGCTGGTGGAAAACAGCCAAACTGCTTCTGCGAAATCTAGATGACTACATAGTACAATGTTTAACGTAAAAGCAGTCTGTTTATGTTTAAACATCTGGTTCTTATTTTAAAGAAGCTTTTCTAGTTGTTAAATAACAAGTTTCATTCATGGCCTTTTCAAATTTGCAAAACCAATCAAACGATCCTTTTCCAAAAATAAAAATTTAGCTAACAGAGGAACCGTCATGCTGCAGTATTACAGGGTTGCTAGACAAGAACAGAACAGTGTCATGAGCATGTGGATGTTTAGAAAGCCAAGTTTAGGACAAATAAAAATTCTTTATTCAAGAATAATTATAAAATCTAACTTTAAAACTGATCTGGTCCATCTCACCCTAATTCTCCCAAATTTGGGAATATTGCATCAGAATCTGTGTTCATGGAATGAATGAACGAGTCTGTGTGTGTGTGTATACAGTTTAGGTAATTATAAATATACAATAAGAAAGCAAACATTAGCTGCAGTTTAAAAGAATTTATTTTTCTTCCCTGTAAAGGAAGCAAATTAAAGGGGAAACTGAGATGTAGTCTTGTTACACTTGTATTTCTACACTCTGATGCTTTTGTTTATTTGATATACAAGCACTGATTGCTGCATAGTTTTAGACTTAAAAATTGAAATCTTTTGCTCCTATGAAATACTTGGCTTTTTATTATGAATGTGATACCATTCACCACAATTCATCCATCTAGTCTAACCTATTTTCTGAGGGGAGTTTAGGTATCAATGGATAGTCAGTGTTACCTGTAGCAAGTTGTCTCACCTATCTGAGACGAGACACGAGTCTTAGGAGTTATGTAGCTCTCTGCATTGGAGACCGAGCCTGGACAAGTAATTTAGAATAGCAGCTAACTTTTAGATGGCTAAGCCTAAGCAAGGTGAATCCCGCTATGTAAATGTGCTATTTTACTGTTGCTTTTTAGGTTAACATGATGTGACTTTTTTTTTGTTGGGGATTTTTCATTTTATGATACACAATTTTCATGTGAAATAGAATAAAGCTATTTTATGTCCATACAGTAGCTGTAATATTCTTTTCATTGTGTCCCTGTTTTGATTCTAGATACCGATGGAATGCAGCTTTTCTATGTGGAATTGTGATCAAAAGATTTGAGGACAGCATTTGAACTATAGTTTTTTTTAAAGTTTAGCTTTTTCAACAGTGATGTGTGTATAAAGATTTTCTGTGGGTGGATCTTAATAAAAGACCATGTTGTAAATAGAAACAAGAACTTCTTCCTTAGCCATTACGATTTCTTATTTCGGAAGGATTAGTCTAGAACAGGCATATTTTGTTTGATTTGTATTTGCTGTTTTTAAAATGCAATAATATGTCAAAGTGTTTTTTGTCTTCCATGCCTTCAGGCAAGCAACATGGTAAGTGATCAAATTTACTGAGTTACAAGAGAACTTCTGAAGTTTTTATGATATGATACAACACACTTTAAATTGTAAGTTTATGTTTCTGGAGTTAAAACTTTTGGCTTCTGAATTGTCCTTCTTTTAATAGATCTTGTTGATCTTCCTGCAAAAAATGGACTTGCTTCTAACCAAAACTCCACCTGATGAAATAAAGAACAGTGTTCTACCAATGGTTTATAGAGCCTTGGAAGCACCTTCAATTCAGATCCAGGTATAGTAATTGCAGCCTTTATTTAAAACAATATTTTTCTCTTTTCTTTACGCTGATGTTCCAACTTTTTGCATACTACTGTGTTTGTTTACTTGAAAAAAATGATAAAGCTGTGTAATATTCCTGAATGTCAAAAGATATTAATGCTTTTTTGAAGAAAATTTGTTTTAGTAAAATAAAATATAATTCCCTTATTTTCCAGGGAGTAACCATGTGACTATTGTTCTAATGCTCTTATCCTAAATTCTTACTAGCCACCATAGCAACAAGTAGGATGTGTATTTATAATGCATTGCCTGTGCTGCAGAAACTGTGCAGGCATGCATGCTCTTACCAGTCGGAGAGAGTTATTCTGAGGTCCCACTGGTAAGAACATGTGTGCTGACAGTTACCTTGGAAGACCTAATTTCTGTAAAATCACACCTTCTGGTGATGTCTTTATGTATCCATATTTTCTCTTCATGCTTTCTCTACCTTTCTAAGGTTCCTTTTTTTTGGAAATCATTCTTGTGCTGGAATTAAATTCCAGTTAGCCAAAGGCATTCGGGAGTGGGAGGGTGAGATAAACAAACAAAATGTTTCTTAAAGAAGGATTTGAATAGTCAGTTGTAACTTTCATCTTGCAAAGCCTTTGCACTATTATGGAGAAAGGTTTTTGTTTCTAAATACCTGTCTTAAGGTTTTTCTGCATCTGTAGTTTTGTTACTCAGGTATTTACTTTCAACCTGTACTTAATATTACAATCTCTTATTTTTTGAGATATAACTGAAATTGGGTATTTTTTTTCTTGTTGCTTAAGCATGTTTAACCTTGATACGCCCTTTTATCTTTCAGTTTATCATTTTGCTGCTGCAGTGTTGTTGATAGTAGTCAAATTGTAGGAAAATGTTACAGTTTGATGTAATAAAAGTTGTTTTTTATATAAAGATGTTTTTTGAAAATACAAGGTATTCTTGCTATCCAAATATTTTATTATAAATTTATGAATACTCTTTTTGAAATCCATTTTCCAAGGTTCTGTCTTCATATCATGATGCTTTTTTAAGTAAATCTGATAGATTAACGTCAGCTTAGTTGAACATGATATATCCTTAAATATCTTAAAAATTTCCATAAAAGGAAAGCTTAAGAAGACATTTTAAACTGTTTTTTATCTTGAGTAATATTAGTACTAATTTTATAATAAACATACATATTTCTTTTTAAACTTATGTGGAATTCTTTTTATAGGAGCTTTGCCTAAACATAATTCCCACATTTGCCAATTTAATAGATTACCCATCAATGAAAAATTCATTAATTCCAAGAATTAAAAATGCCTGTTTGCAAACATCTTCTCTTGCTGTAAGTATCCTAATAATTTTATCTCTTTCTCAGTCCTCAGAAAATGTTGTTACCTTTAATTACTTTGGCTTTGCTGCTGCTGGGTCTTTAAAGAAAAGCCCGCCAATGTGCCCTGATTTCTTTTTGCGATTTTTTTTTTTTTTTACTTTTTACAAATACAAAAGCAGCTTTTACGTTTTTACTCTAACAATCTTTAAAGTTGTTAACAACTTCCCATTGTTAACAATATGGTAAAAATTGTTGAAGTGTGTTCCAGAATAATATATGTTAACAGTGTTTGTCCTGCAGAAAAGCCAAGGTTTTGTGAGCAATATTTTCCTTTCATGACACAAAAGGGTTTTTTTCAGATAGGAAGGTTGTAGTTTCAGTAGCACCTGTTTTCTTCTGAGTTTTGTGTGCTTTTTTTTTTCCTTATGCAAAAATATAGTAAAGAGGTTTTTTAATTCTTGTCATACTTACAGGTCCGGGTAAACTCATTAGTATGCTTAGGGAAGATTTTGGAGTACTTGGATAAATGGTTTGTGCTTGATGATATTTTACCTTTTCTACAACAAATTCCATCCAAGGAACCTGCAGTGCTAATGGGCATTTTAGGTAATTAAGACTTTCAACTTTCTCCTCTTTTGTGTTTTGATGTAAATCTGAGAGCTTTCTGTTGTCATTGATAATGTTTACATAGTGTATTGCTAAAATGACTATTAAAAACTTCCTGTTTCTGGTTCTTAAGTATACCCCTGTACAACTACCTCATGCATTGCTGGTACTTCTAAAAACTACTACATACATTTCTAGCGCACAAGGCCCAATGCAGTTCTGAGTACTCGTTGCAGTTCGTGGGCTGTTACACTTTCATGGATTGTAAGGTCCACAAAGCCAGAAAGGCTGTTTTCCTCAGAAGAGTATACGATCTGTCATCTTTCAGATGCCGAGCACCTTGCTGGAGCTTTTAAGATGTTACTGTTGCCTTCTCTTACCACTCTTGCATGTCAGATGCTATAAATGATTGTCTACAGATCTACTGTTATTCACTGCAGGTCTTGTTAGATTAATTTTGTTGGACATTTAAGCAAACATGTCTGCCTTTCATGGAATCATAGAATGGTTTGGGTTGGAAAGGACCTTAAAGCAGGCAGGGACAACCTCAACTAGACCACATTGCCCAAAGCCTCATCCAACCTGATCTTAAACACTTCCAGGGACGGGGCATCCACAACCTCTCTGGGCAACCTGTTCCAATACCTCACCACCCTCACAGTAAAGAATTTCTTTCTAACATCTAATCTAAATCGACCCTCCTTCAGCTTAAACCCATTACCACTTGTCCTGTCACTACACTGCCTCATAAACAGTCCCTCACCACCTCTCCTGTAGGCCCCATCAGATACTTGTAAGCTGCAATTGGATCTTCCCGGAGCCTTCTTTTCTCCAGGCT